AAAAAAAAAAGAAACAAAAAAAAACTGAGATCAGAACGAAAAACACAGTTGACAACTGGTAATACTCACAAAATTTTTCTCCCTACAGCTCTAATGTCTTGACTTAGTTGCATAGACTGATTAAACTGCTTATCCGTTTACTTTTGTCTTAACTTCTAGCACTTCCAATTGGCCGTAAAATAAACATGACTGTTGAACAGGAAATTATCCTAAAAGTTGTTTTTGCATTACAAAGTGTTGCTAAATCCTTTGCAAATTCCTAAAGCAGTACGCTAAACCATTGTATAGAATAAAATTATGATGTATCATTTAGACTAAACCTGAATGCTTAATGCTTAGTCTAAACAGTTTATTGTTACTGGCCACAGGCTGTCTACTTTCCTATAAAATCCATAGCTGTATTTAGAGGTTTTTTTCTGAAGATCAACAACCCAAAAAATAGAATGAAAAGACCACAAATGATTAGCAATGAAGCTCTTAAAGATCAGTGTGAATTTACTTTTAAACTTATTACAGTTTATAAGCCACTATATGCGAAATGTCAGATAAAAGTTTAAAAGACAAGACTTTTTCCACTAATTTCTTTACTTAAAATTTAAGATTTTGATTTAAAATACTTAAAATTTTTAAAGGTGAATTAGTCAAATAAACTAATTATAATATATGAGTAAAAACAACATTTTTTTTTTTTCAAACCAATAATCACAACTAAGATAACATGGAAAAAGAAAAAAGAAATCCAGGGAAAACTAGAAATATCAGAGGAGCTGTATAAGTGTGAATGGAACGTTCCATCAGTACCAAGCAGTTTATAAACCCGGACAAATAGGTGTGAATCCACAGATCTTTTTTTGCTTGGTTTCCTACTTTTTTCAATGTCTTTGTTAAGTTTCAAAAGAAAAAAAAAACAATTAAGTGAGCAGTTTCATATGAATGAAAGACTAAAAATAAAGATGTCGCTGATTATATTTATAAATTTACCTTATTTTGAGAGAAAGACATAGCAAAAAAAAAAAATTAGAAAAAATGAAAGACTAGAATCTTTTTTCTTTTTCAACTTATACTAATGGGAAAAGAAAATTAAAAAGAAAAAAGAATAAGAACGATTAATTAAAATAAAAACTTTCCTTTTTTTTTTTTCCTTTTTGGTTTTATCAGTACTCAGACATCAAAGCAAAGCAAATTGTCATTTAAACTATTGTTTGGTTGTTAAAAGCAATCAAATATTTGAAGATGAACAAAATAGTTCAACCGTAGGGTTAAAAAAATTTGGCGAACAACAGAATGTATACCCGCCTAAGATTGGCGACGATAACGTTAACATCTGTGATTCGGTGGAAAATTACAGCTATACGATAGGTGTTTCTGGTTGATGACAAATTTTTGCTGCCAGTATCTGTTTTCAAAATAACGTAACATTTTTTTTT